AAATTATCTAAATAATTTTTGTAAGGTTATCCTTTGCCATAGGGACAAATACATAAGTCTTTATATGCCTTCTGCTCTATTCCCTTGAGCTCTGTTAGTCTTAATTTTAAAATAATACACTATTTCTTTGGCATCTGAGCTGTTCCCCTCATTACTCAATCTTTTTTTTTTTCCGATAAGTCAACTTGTGATTAATCCAGAATGCTGAACTTGTGGCTTTGCAGATGCCAACACAGTAAGTGACTGAGATATCATCACAGGCATGAGATAGTGACTCTCTGGGGAGATCAAAAAGAAGCCAAGATGTGAGAAAATGCTGCCATTATTATCTGCAAGCGGGTTAGCTCAATGTCACTGCAGCAAATTCTTTGTGGTTACTGGAAGTCATCTCTTAGTACCGGAGAGCAGTCCTGTCCCCAAGTATCTGCTAAAGAACATCAATAAGAACATTAAAAACAGATTAAAAACAAAACCCAAAACACTTAATGCTCTGAAGTCTTTGTACTGTCATGGCAATGTACTGTGGCAGTTTTCTCTTGGATGCATCGTTCTCTCTAGAAGAGTAGAGCACAGCATTTGAGGGAACTCTACAGCTGGTATCAAGGAAATTATTTCTCTGATACCTGTGCAGCTGTGCTTACATGTGCCTGTTGAAAGCTGTGCTTTTTAAGTTGATCTGTCATATGGACCTGACAGCAAAAGTGTGTTGCTGATGATTTTATTTGCTCACTGTCCATTAATGAGTGTAGCAGAAGTAAAGCGCCTGGGCTGAACGTGCTGTGATACGCTTTCACCAGCGTTCAGAGTCATCGGCACCTCTTCGGGCTGCCATCAAGCTGCCGGGACGCATTACTGCAAATCACTGAGCAATTCTCATAGTCTTCAGGTGCTGCTCAGGGCTCGGGAGATTCCAGCTCCAGTTTTATCTAAATGCTGGCAACCTGCCATGCATTTGTGTGAGCTTGACTGCAGAAGGTCAGAGGATGACCCTGAAAGCTGTTCAGCTGTTTCTTGCTCAGAGCTGAGCTAGGGAGATAACGTCACCGGAGATGCACTCTTGCACAAGGGGCTGGATCATTTGATGGGTTTCTTTTGAAGCCCCGTGAGCAGGGAGGAGCTGCACAGCTTCTGGGCTGTGCCACTGAGAGTGCCAAGTGTTGAAAGCGTGTCAGGTAGAGGCGAGCTTTAACTAGGAACCAGAGGCTCCTCATTCAAAGAAGGCTGGGCAAGGATCGGCACGAGGGAAGGCATTTCTGCCCATCTGGATGCGAGGACTGCACCAGGCTGGTGGCGTCCATGCCAGGACAAGCAGGAAGGAACCATGTTGTCATGCTCACACATGCGCTACAGAGCTGGTCAGCTGCAGAGGAAAAGCCCTCCTGGTCTTTCTGTCAGGCATGGAGTAGCCTCCTCGCTGTCTGCTGCGTGGATGCGGTGTGGTAACCCCAAAGCCACCGCTGGAATGGGGTTGCCTGCAGGACTCCTTATCTGGATTGGGAGCTAAAGGAAAATACACTTGAGCTTCCAGTACCATTTCTAGAAACTTGCTGATGCACAACATTTGTCCCCAGATTTCTCAGCCTCTAACCAGCCTGTGAAATGTCAGAAAGCTGGACAGGGCTTCTATTTTTACAAATGGGGAACAGCAAATTTCGTTTGCTTCTAATATCTCCCCTCATGAGGAGTGCAAGATGGGCAGCAGCTTTTTGGCTGGGTTAGGCCATCAGACCAGCCGTAATCAGCATGTTTTATGCTTCTACATGGGCTCCTGGCCACCTGTATAATGTCCATCTGTTGAACTGGGCGCGATGCCTACTGACACTGCGATCCAGATCATTTGAATGAGGCACAGGCTTCCGGGAGGTGACGATGTTCCTGAAGGACAATTTGCAGCAGCATGACAAATGCTGTCCCTTCTACGTGGAGTCCCTCCCATGCACCACTCTCGTGGCAGTGCCGGTCACTTCTCGTTACTTTAAGGCATTTGGGGAGATCTGGAAGAAACGTAAATGCGTTGTGGCAATGATAGCAAATGAATATTCAGAGACAGTCCCTGGCCCTCTGTGACTGTATCTGAGCAATTTTAATGTATTCATCTTAGAGCTGCGCGGTGCTTTTCTGTGAATGGTAAATTTGCTGAAAAATGCAGTTTTAGAATAACCACATCTATTTGCCATTTGAAGTGAAATTTGTTAACTAGCTGCAAGTGGGAAAGGACATGGTGAAACCGGCTTCCAGGAGTGACAGAGGACCTGTTTCTGCTTTCCCCTCCATCAAGGTGCAGGGACCCCATCGCATCAAGCTGTGTGCTCAAGTTCCCCTTACTGTGAAAAGAAGTTTGAACCTGCATCTCCCACCTCCCAGTGGATGTCCGAAGTTATCGGGAGGGGGATAGTCTGAAAGCCTGCTGCTGGTCTTACTCTACCTTTTATAAGCAATTAGGTTGTTAGAACAGGGTTTGGATACTGAGGCTGCAAGTGCCTAGGTAAACACTGAAAGTATTAAGCTAGGGATTTTTTTTTTTTACCCTCAGTGACTGTATCCTGATGGAAATGGAACAAGTTTGATAGGATGGACCCAACCTGTACCTGATAATCTGACAGGTTGTCTTGCTGCTCCTTAGGAAGAGAGGATGGTAAAGCCTGTTTTGGGGAACACTTAGTTAAAGGTCTGATAGTAATGGAGTGAGAGGGCCCATATGAGAAGTTACAGCCAGACAATGAATTTCTGCCAGGGCACCTTGGTCTTGGCTGGCCTTCTGTGTTCAGCTATGTCTTGACTATTTCTACAGAAAAGAATGCCAAATGCAGTAAGTTATGAAATTATTTTTATTGTTTTGGTTTGTATGCTCAGGTTGAATTGATTTGCTTGGAAGACAGTGGCTTTGTCTACATTAGCAAATAGCACCATGCAGTAGGAGCAGATCTGCAGAGCAACACAGTAATGAAGACCCAGGCAGATTTAGGGCGTTTTGCTTCAAAACAGCTTTATTCTAATCCCACTTGAAGGAAATTTTGAAAGAAACTTGTAGCAAATCAGGAGACCAAATATTGCATGTTGAAAATGTCAACAAAACCTTTCAATTTATTAGGAATATTTCAAGTTTTCTGCCAAAACAAAGACTTGAAAAAACCTGGCACATGTTCATGAGACATTTTAATGCTGTTGAAGCTGTATTTTTTGTTGGTAATTGTTTCAGCTGAAATTTTATCTGGTGCTTCTTGAGGTCATCTGGCATCCTACTTAAACCTGTGTATCTTGCTGTGTGTGTGATTCTTGATGTTGTTTCAAAGATGTCTGTACACAAAATTGATCTCTTCCTAATCCTTTAAAAAAGGTATTCTTATATCTATCTCTGCCTGCACCAGAGAAAGGAAAAAAATCCAGTGCTGCTGTCTCAAGTTTTTTGTTCTGACTCCTCTGCTGTGTGACTATGAAATCAGTCATGACACATTTGCCTTAGCTGCAGGAAACTGAGAGAGAGGAGGCAGCAACAAGGGCAAGACGGGCACTTGGGAGCTGAGGAAAAATTAGGGATCACATGCAGGAGAGCAACCCAGCTGCAATGAAAGGAGTGCGTGTGAGACTTGTGCAGAAGTGGCTTTTAATGTAGTAAACTTTGCCTGCACGCTGAAGTCAATAGATACTGTCGCGTGGTAAAGGCGGGGACTTACTGGTGCTCTGAAGATTACGTGGACTCTGGAAAGAAAGCAGATGATCGAGAGTAAATCATAGGGACTTTCTCATGCAAAGGTACCCTCCGATGCAGTCAACACGCCAGGACAGCAAGTGTTCCTGTTACTTAGCAAGTTTGTGGTTTAGGTATTGGATTTTACCCGTGGCTCTGGCTGACCTCCATATCGGTTACATCCAATGATACATATTTGGGATACTTTAATATTTTACTGAAATGTGATTTGTTTCGTGTCAGACATCAGGACAGGTCAAACATCAGTCCGGGTTTTGGTGTGTGAATGGCCTAGGATTTCCTGCCAGATATCTCGTTCCTCTTGGCATATCCAGAAGAATATGGCAAGGAAAGGTTATAGTCTTGACAGGATACTGGTTTTGGAGTAGTACATAAGTCTAACATCAGGGATAAAGTAGACATCAGCAAATAGCTATTGGCAATTTAACAAATTGTAACCTGATGTAGTTTTTATATTAAGAGGTGAGAAGACTATGATATTAGAGAAATAATCTGCACCTCTGTATTACACCCCTCATAGTTGCCAACTAGTCTCTCCTTTAACTTGCATGCTACAAATACCAGCTGCTTTTAAACCTCCTTAGTGTGTAAATCATGCCATCTTAAACACCAACTCTGAATACTGTTTGGTGCCTTTTGCTAAATTTTTGTGGTGCCATTTATCCTAAACAATTCATTGATTTCTGTTTTATTGTTTGTAACAAAGTGTGTTCTTTGCGATTTCTCTCAGTTCCAGAACGAGAATTAGCTACTATGGTAGTGCAACCTAAATCACTATACAGGCATAGCAAAAACAATTCTTACAAGTCTCACAAGCTTTGTAAGTCCAAAGTTTCTATTTAAATATTTCTTGGTATTGCTTGTTCAGCATGTAACTTGGATTCTTTTTTAGTATGCCTTTAAGAAACAAGAACAACACGGATTTTAAAATTTCTTTTAAAGATTCCTGTGCCTGAAAAAATAAGTTGGGTTTTGATCAAAAAGAAGAATGTGACTAAAAATGATTGATTTTCAGGAAAACTGTCAGTGTTCATTCAGGGTTTTTTTGAAAAGATGAAATCGGAAATGTTTTGGTTTCTGGAGTTAGCAGGATACCAGATAGTTTTCAGCTGTCTATTCAGGTTGATGTTTTTAGAAGAGAGGCAGTGTTAGACAGTCAGAAGTTTGTCTGGACTTTCTCTGGCTCGAGAAAGGTGTGCAGGTAATTGTAAATATGTGTATGAAGAGCAGATTTCAGCTGGATTTTGAAATGACTGGGAAAACCTATGCGTGAACAACTTGTTTTTCTCTGTTGTTTTACAGGTTCCAGAATCTGCTGTGGTCTCGAAAAGCATTTGTGGACAGTGTGAAGGTGTATAACCACAGCTACATCTACATGCCAGCCTTCTCGATGAAGACGGGGACAGGACCCTCCCTACGTGTCTATTACACCCTGGAGGACTTTGGTGCCAAGCAGGCGGTCCTTTTCGCCAATCCCAATTTCCTGCGTGACATTGGCAAGTTCTGGAAGAGCAAAGGTATCCATGCCAAACGGCTTTCCACGGGACTTTTCCTAGTCAGTGCTGCCCTTGGTCTGTGTGAAGAAGTAACAATTTATGGCTTCTGGCCGTTTTCGGTGGACCTGCACGGGAAGTTTATTAGCCATCATTACTATGACAATGTCTTGCCCGATTCTGGATTCCATGCCATGCCGGAGGAATTTCTACAGCTGTGGTTTCTTCATAAAAGTGGTGTACTGAGAATGCAGCTAGAACCATGTGAGGACCCTTTAACCCAGTCTTCTGCCTGAGGATCGTAGGAGTCGGTTTGGGAGATCCAATAGTTTTTAATTTCCATGCTCTCCAACAGAGAGTTCTGTTTTCTGTTGATTCTTTTAAAAGGGAAAATAATCGTGGATCTGCATGGACCATGAAAATGCTACTTGAAGGCCAAATGGAATACGTCCTTAATGTATAGTGCTTTATGGAACTCGGGGGGGAGAAGCGAATCTCTCCATCGAGTCCATTCAGCAGCAGCATTGTAAAAATAATGTCAGAAGCAGCACAGCTGAACTTTCCGGGGGATGTTTTTAAATGACCGATGTAAAAAGGGCATTAAGGCTCAGAGAGATACAGGGCCACCCACAAGCTTTTGCTGACAGTGCCAAATATGACTGTCTGTTCAAAAATCCATTTCATTCCAGATTGGCACCTTGTACAACTTTCCTTTTTCCTTTTCCGTTTTCCTCTGTGTGTGGGGGGTGTGTGTGTAGGAAAGCATTATGTGTTGTTGACTTTCTCTGTTTCTTTCCTTTTTTTTTCCTTTTTTTTCTTTTAGTTTTTTTTTCCCCAGTGGAAGGAAAAGGAAAGGCTTAAAAACCCCAGGAGCCAAGTACCATCAACTCCTCCAAAGACTCTTGGGAGAGTGAAGGGTGCTAAGAATCTGGTTAGAAGAATGTCCTAGGAATGCTCTGCTTCTGAGCATGGGTGGACCTACTTGCTGTAGGTTTTATCAGGATAGCTTAGGTCTTTGCACTTATAGCTATGCTAATGCTATACTGTGGCAAGAGCTGGTTAAGGGAAATTGGTCTGAAAATAAAACTTGTGTTACAAAACCAGTAGTGAAGTGCAGCCTGGTTTCAGTTGACCTGCTGCAAGATTTCCACAGTGACTTTTGTAGCAGGGATGGTTCCTGACCTGTTTTGCTGTTCAGCCTTGGGGATTAATTCTGTATTCATTTGGACTCTAGATGTTCATTGACTGTCAAGGGGATTTGAGGTGTTCAGTGGAATGCAGAACGAGGTTCTTCATTTGCTTATAGCAGAAAAACTGCAGAAATGAATGTGTCATTTAAAAGGAGTTGAAGCTTCGAAAATCCTTTCTCTTTGTGTGACTCTCTTCTGCTTGGATTGTAATGTTAGCCTTAAAGACTTGTACTTTTCTCGCAAGATTGTCCGTGGTTAAAGATAGTCTGAAAAATAAAACAGCCTTTGGGAGCACTGAAAAACTGCGTAGCCAGCAAGAAAAAAATAAAAAAAGAAAAGGGCAGGCCCTTATGTAAGGCAGCCTCTCTCCTCGCAGTGGGTGAATTACGCCAGTGTGCGCATTGCACGCGCGCAGCTCCGGCCAGCGCGGCGCCTGAAGGACTGTTTTATTTTGGGTTATTACTTGGGCAGCAGATGGTCCTATCACCATGTAAATGAGAAAATTTTTTGTTTGTTTGCTTTGGTGTAGCACTGTAGGACAAGAAAAGAATACCAGCTCAGTCCACGGTGCAGTTTCAGCTGCAAGATGTTATCACCATTAACTTTAAAATCCAGACCAGTGTTCTCTTTCTTATCCTTCCATCATTAGTAGCTGAAATTCTAGTCAAAGTGTTGAAACAACAAAACTGTCATCAGGTTTCCACAACGAATTTCTGTGCTACCTGTTTTAGCTCCAAAGTGCTAGTATTTTGGGGGATGTGTCATATCATATGTTGACAACGTCTCTCTTTGTAGACTACCAGCTGCAAGTTATATAGATATAATTAAAAAAAAAAAAGGCAAAATCCGTGGCTCTTCTTTAAATACGAATAATTCAACTATCTATGTAGAACACTGGAGAGAAAAAAGTCATGTTTTGCTTTTTAAACCTATGTTTCATAATAAAATCTTCTTTCTAAATATGGATATTCAAAGCATAAAGAGGGCACTGTTACACAGGGTTACAGGGCAGTGCTAAACTGTAACGTGGAGATTTGGATTAAATAGTGTTCTAGAGATTGTTCTGATAAAATCCAAATGTGCTTCTATAACCCATTTTATCTTTGTCCATACCTTTGTTAAAAGCACAGTCAACACACTGATGGAACATCACTTGATAATTCATTCCCTTTCATTATGTTTGTTTTATCTATGATGCGGGTACTTGGTGAGGAAGGATTTGAAAGTAAAATATTTTCTTTACTGCTGTTATGGCAGAATTTTACTGAACTGCCTTTCTTGGAGAAGAAGAATGGGTTTTATTGTACGCATCAAGTTTTGCGTTTTTAGTGCTTTTTGCACTGTTTAGTGCTTTAAAGATGACATTATCTGTGAGAACAACAGTCAAAACATGGTGTGCTAAAATGGCACTTCCGCAGGATGCCAGCATTTCCTTGGGGGTGGGAGGGAACGAGGAGAGTAGGGGGAACTGCCCCTTTGCTGGTCATTTTTTTATATTTTTACCAATACTTGGGAATTTAGTTCTGAACCTCTCTGATGGCTCTCCAACCCTTTGGTAATCCTTTTTTCCATGTCTTGGGAAAACAATCTGATTAGAAGAACAAGAGAAAAACATGTATTTTTGTAGGAAAACTCTGTGCAGTGTTTCATAATGTCTGGCTTGTTCATGTTCAACCAGTGCCCTGGGTATCTGGAGGTGTTGTATTCCCCACCTCTGTAGGACTGAGGGAGACCGAACCTGTAACCTGTGGTCTTTGTGAGTCCCTTCTGATGTCTGCAGTCCTGACGTTTGCAAGGAGGTAGCTTCCAAAAAATTATGGGGGTAGGAGAGACCCAGGCTGTGTGTGATGTGTGACTGATGTGGAGAAATTGATAATTCTGGCTCTGTTCACATTTATGTATAGAGAATATAACTGCATGTTACAAAGATAACCACATTTGATGGGGAAGTAAAGACTTCAAGGATAAATAATTTTCTATAACTTCCAGAAAACTGGTAGCTGAGGAAAGAAGAGAAACGAAAATAAATGCCCCTTTTGAGAGAGCAAAATCTGTTTTAGCTGGCTGACTTGTCAGTCCATGCAAACACTGGCCAGTGATCAGCCTTTTGCCCAGCAAGTACAAAGGGACGCGGGAGAGTACTGCAAGTGTTTTGTGGCAACAGCAGTCACAAAAAGAAAAAGAAGAGCAGCTGGGAACGTGAGAGTGGCAGTTGCCTGACAGAAATGTTGGAGTAAATATGCTCCGTCCATACTGCTGCTCAGCATGAGGCTTGTCTAAATTTAGGAGGCGGGGAGGGTCCATGTATAGGATCATTGATGTGAAATATGGCGTTGAATGCAAGGGACTGAAGTTGTATCCTTCTTCAGGAGGGAGGTCACGCCATGGGATAGGACCATACTTTGCTTAAAGACAGGCACAGGCAAATCCAGGAGGCTAACTGTAACGGTTACCCATGAGAAATCAGCATCTCGCAGTCATGGCAAACTTCGGTCAGAGTGATTATATCCATCTAGCATTTACCTATTGATTGATTGCAGTCCACTGATGGCAGTGCCCTTAATCAAATCTCATTGCTTGTGTTGCTATATTTTCCTTGAAGTGAATTGAAATCTTAATGTTTCGTTAGCGAAATTTCCTACTCAGCTTCTCTATTTCCACTGCCAGTCCCTGAATTTCTCTGATAGTGTAGCTAAAGCTGCACAAATCTTTGCCAGGTTGAAAGCCACTGAAATTCATCTTCAATAAAAACTAGTTCAGACTGGCCAAATGATTTGTTAATCTTCCTAGTTACTAATTTTATCATAGAGGTGCCAAGGTACAGAAAACTGGAATCATTGCTCTGCATAGGAAGCATTGCCCCACGTTTATAAGTAGAATAAATTAAATTCCTTTATAAGAGCTGTGTATGGAAGATACTCAGTACTGAAATCGCTCTAGATATAATCTTTTTGGGGGTGTATATGCTTTTAAGTAAATCAAGACCAATTTTTGAATTTGCACCAAAACTATGTAAAACTTCTCCTTCCTGTTGATTAGGAAGCCTTTGGAGCTCCTTCTAAAACGGACAAGCAAAAGAGAAGCCAGCAAACTAAAATCATAGAGAAGGGGTATGTGTGCTCATGAGAATAAAAACATTTATATTTTTGGCACAGACTTCGCTATAATACTAAGGTCTCTTACTCATGAATGTTGTATTTTTATATTTTTGCTGAAATGAAGATAGCAAGTTTGGGGTGAACCAGCTACAAAAGTCAAAGGTCCGAGCCTCTGTTACAGCTTAACTTTTGTAGAATATAGAAGTATTGGCCATTTTGTCAACTTTACTACTTTCACCTTTTTGTTAGCTTCATCAAAATGGTGTCATAACATACACTGCTGAGTTTGCGCCTCTGTGGGAGCTGAAACTAAGCAAAGCATCTGCTTTTTTAAGCTAAATGTCTGAACTATGGTAGTTAATGTAAAACCCTTCCTCTATACATCTTCATGGAAACTGGTTTAATATCTGGCTCACCCTTGCCTGTAATTAATAAGGCGAACACGAGTGAGGAAGCTTTTATTCTAGAAGTGAGGATGATGAAGGAGGTGAATGTTATCTCACCGTTTGCTGCCTGCTTTGGTTCTTCAGCTCAATAAATTAGTAAGTATTGGAAGAAGTCCAGGTTATATGAAGGACAGGCAGTTCTTGAAGGGTTGGATGATGCTGGAAAAAAGGAAGATCAAATCAGTGGTGTAACAAATTGGAGTGTAGCAATTCTTGATAAAGATCCCCAGTTTTAAGCAACTGTAGGACATTTTCATCTGGTAATGACGGTGAAAAATGGACTACCTATGACCTACCGAAGGTTTTCTGCAGGATGGCAGCAAAGCAAAATGCAATGAGGAGGGGAAACTGATTAAACAGAAAGGGAAATACAATGGAACAAAGAATGATGATGAAAAATGTGTCTTCCCCTTCTCTCCTGCCACTCCCCCCAAAACACATGTATAAAATGGACTAACCAGCTATTATCCTCAGTCACCGTCTCCTTCATGAAATGATGTGGTGGGATTTCCATTAGCTGATACTTCCTAGTAAACAAAATTCATCAGAGCTTGTCCAGAAATGCCTGTTCCCCGGCTCCATGGCTGGCTGGGGGATGCTCTGGGGGCTGTGGCTGTGCTGGTGTTCTGTGACCTCCCCAATGGGATCTGCTCCTGATGCCATGTGGTTCCATCAGATCTCGCTCTGGGAACACCTGGACTTGTATTTGTGCCCCGAGAAGTCATCCTAAAGGATCTCTCTGCTTTATCCTTCCTGATGATCATCCTCCTTGGCGTTAG